GCAGTCTCTAGCCCCTGAGTATCTTCAGATACCTTGTCTGCATCGAGTTGACCTCCTTTGATTTTGACAGCATCAACCATGTTGATATTTATAGGCTCTACAAAGTTTGTCTCAGCAATCTAAAGAGGATCTGTGTCAACTTTCACCGGGTTCTTGGGCTTCTCGCTAAACTTTAGCCTTCCTTCCTTGATAGCACTATGTATCAAGTCCCTGAAAAGATAGCATTGTGAGGTTTTATGGCCTAAGAAATTATGATATTTACAAAAGCCCATTTTCTTCCGTTGTTCTAATGGAGGAATTTTAGCACCATGAGGAACTATCACCTGACCATCTTTTACTAACAAATCAAAGATTTCATCACACTTGGTGATGTCGAAAGTATAGATTTTCTTTGGGAATTTGTCATTCCTTTCTGGTTTCCCGGTATTTTTCCCGTTCGTAGGCGTTAGCACTTTGTAAGGATATGGTGGTCCTTGCTTTAACTCTGCAAGATCTATCTCGTGTTCTTCAACCTCTGAAAAATCATCTTCGACATCTCTTTCATCCGAGCAGGCTTCGATATAAGCCACTCTTTCTTTTCTGTGGCTTTTGTTAGCCCTTGCTTTTTCGATCTTCAAATGCTCTACCTGTCGAACCCTATCAGCCAGTTGTGCCATATCTCTCAGATACTAGGGATCTAACTTCTTCCTGATAGAGAAGTCCAATCCTCTTGCTACCATTCCGACCAACTCGTGTTCAGGCACTTGTGTGAAACATCTTGCCTTTAACAGATGGCACCTGTTAAGATAATCGTCTATAGGCTCGCTGAATTTGCGCTTAATATTTGCCAATTCGCTCAGGCTGATTTTTGTTTGACCTACATAAAATTGTTCATAAAATAATCTCTCTAAGCGAGTCCAATCATGGATGGAGTTCACTGCAAGAGTATTAAACCAAGTAAAAGCATTTTTGGTTAGTGAACTAGGGAAATACTTAATCCTTAGATTCTCATTGTTTGCTATATCTCCTGATTCTGTAAGATATCTAGCAACATGTTCTATGGTTGACTCACTGGTGTCACCAGAAAACTTTGTAAATTTTGGCATTTTCCATCCCCTAGGAAACTCAGTTTGCTGAATGTATTCAGACAAAGGGGATGTATAAGTTTTCCTTCGCATGCCAATATTTACTCCATTTCGTACCATGATTCTTTCGACTATGGCTGCTAGATTATTATTTCCTACCATATCATCTTGCCGACATCCTTGGAGAACTTCGTCACCATCTTGGTTTTGATTCACCATGACTACCCTTCTTCGTGGTTGCTCCCTGGGAATATCCTGTTGAAATCTGGGTGGTTCTTCCCTTCGAACTAGTTATTGAATTTCGACTTCTGGGTGTATCACTGGTTGGGCCTGGTCAATGGTTGGTTTTTCTTGAAACATGATGCCTTTATTCTCCCTTATCTATGTAGGTTGTGGTTGTCGAGTTGGTTCTCTGGGTGCACCAAAGAAATCTGCAAGGCGCCCAATTTGTGCTGCCATTTGTTGGTTTGCTTGGGCATTCTGCAAGTTCGTCTGTGTGGTGCGTTGGATTAAAGGGTTAAAAATTGTACTCATTTGCTGGGCGAGTACTCCCACTATTTCATGATTACTATCATCCATCTGTTGCCTCAAGACTGCTTGCATATTTGTGGTGATAGGAAGCAATTGAGCAACATATCCTGGTTGCGAATTATTTTGTGCCATATGGTTTACCCCTAAACCTGATCCTTGTAATGATGAAAAGGTAGATGTTAAAGGACGTGTATAGGTCGAAGTGTTATTTTGAAGTTCTTCCATGAATGAAGTTGGCATGCCATATATTGGATCTGATGTTGGGATTGTGAATCCTAGTGCATATGTTCTAGAGACACTGCCTACTGAAGGTCTAGAGGTTACGGGTGAAATTTGACTGGCCACAAACATTATAATAGGTTCATTTTATGTGTTTAATAATATGGCTGAAGCATTTGTATTTGGGGGTATGACTGTAGCATTTGTAGTCGAGGGGATAATCGCAGTCCTTGACTTGTTGCCATGGCTTCGGTTGTATTCAAAGCGCTCGTATTCCCTCTTATGGGAGGAGGAACTTGTTGTGCAATACTATCGGGTGGGTTATCCATTTTCCTATTGTATTGCATTTTTGGTCTATGATTTGTGGTATTGGCTAATTTTCCGCTTCTTAATCTCATGCAACAAAACAAGTTAGGAAACACAGGTTATCGAAAAAACTAAATACTAGACACACAGTCCCATTGGGAGTGCCAATTTGTTTACCCTGGAATTTGGTAAATAACCACTAATCCTCTAAATCCTTTAACAGATTCAGTTACTCACGAGATTGATCAGATTGATCTCAGGACTATTGTGTTCAATTATTTAGAAAGCATGTTTTGATGATGATCTCTTTAAACAAAAGGAATCACTTCGCATGTCAAAGTGAAACTTCTTTATAAAAGTAATGAAATATAAACTAGTCTAGACTGGGAATTGTAAAGAACGTAAATAACATAAAGAAACTTCATTGAATGTAAATGACATTGAATATAAAATATGGTGCATCATACGTACATTCTCGTTAACTCTTTTCTCGAACACTGATACTTTGAGTATTTTGAGTATTTTGTACAAAGATGTAAACACACTAAATCGAAACACAAAAGCTACAATTTATAGAACTTCGACCCTGACGGTCTCCTAACAAACTAATACCACGTTTTCGCTGACATGTCTTTGACAATCCAAGAGATTCCACGCGTCCTTCTGGATAAGAATGAATATTCGAATTCAAACCCTTTGTTATTCGTCTTGAGCGCCAAAACCAATAAAATCTGATAATGGTCGAAGTATAAAATCTTAAACTATGTTTCAAATAATAACTTTATTTCACAATTCGAATTATAAACTATCCATCAATCTCTTAACAAATTTCGAATTCGAATCTTCATGGCTTTTAACAAACAAAATAGCCAAACAATTCTCTAAGTATATTTAGACCATTGGCTCAACTCAATTTCTTCTTAGTCGAAATTTCCAGCCAACACTGTCGGGATAAAGACATCTGAGCAAGACCCCCACATAAAACGCCAGACGCAGATAACAAAGCCACGCAAACCTGTAACACCAGAACAACAAACAAGACCAATATCTAATATGTATGGGGCTGACAAAATAGATTGCAACCCCCACAACCAAAGAAACAAATCTTTGACACAACCCATACGTCAGAAAATGAATACTTGAGACCTGCAGAGTAACTGGGCTGCTAAGGACCACAGTCTGTTACCACCCTATGATCTTATATATTCTTCCAACCAACACACTTCTTTGGATGTGTAATCCATTGGTTCAAATTATAATTGAGACCTTTTACCTTTGACTTCAGCCACCTCCAAGACAAAATCTGAATGTCTTCAACGATACTGGACTTTCTGCAATCCAATGATCTAAAAATCTTTTCATTCCTTCTTCACCACAAGGTCCACATGCTAGCATTATATATTGTTGTAAATCTCTCCCTAAACACTTTTCCTCCATTGTGAATACCTGCAAAACAAACAAAGTTCTGAAGTGCAGAATTGTGAATAAAAAAAATATGAAGCCAACCTAGGACCTCACTCCATGTCAACCCAACTGCGAGATATTTGAAGAAAATGTGAGAAACATTTTTCTTTTTTCCACCGTTGAAAGGGCATGAATTTTGAGATTCCACTAAGATACCCCCTTCTAACTAAGTTATCCAAACTAAAAATTTTATTCAGCCAAATTCTCCACACCAGGACTGCAACTTTAAGTGGTACAATTTTACTCCAAACATCTGCCAATTCCTTGTTCTCTCCTACTTGAGTTTTCAACGCCTCAGCTATCACCATGTACGCTCCCCTAACCGAATATACATGCTTACCCCATTTTCACTCATCTTTCACATTATCTCTTAATGAGGTTCCACGTATCCTTTCTTTAATTTCTTCCTCACTATTGGCGTTTTCTTCATTCAAATTGCTCTTCCAGTTTCTCATCCAAGCCAATATAAGTCAGGATAGTCTTCCTTAAGACTTCTCCCACTTAACCATGAATCACTCCAAAAGGACGTTTCTCCACCGTTTCCAATGACTAGATAGACTATTATCAAACCAATTCACACTAATTTTCTCTTCTTCCTTATCAAGAGACTATAAATCTCTCTGACACATTGAGTTATACTTGTGTACCTTACTTCTACCAAAATAACTAACCCTACATTTTATATGTGATGAAATGATATTAGAAAATGCAGGAACAGTAAAACTGGACCCCAAACGGTAAAACATAAAATATTACTTCCTCCGTTTTAAAATGAGTGTTGTTTTAATAAATAATTTTTTAAAAAAATAAATATCATTACTATTATTATATTTCTTAATTTGAATGCAAAAACGTTAAAAATACTCATTTTAAAATAGATGAGTATAAAACAGTAAGAATAGACGATACATTGAGTATTACATTTACATTTAAATTAAAATAATTTTTTTTACGAATAATAAAAGGCACGCACATTACACGTCGCAATCATTACAAATATTATTCTTTCGTTCTTCTAAAACTGCCTATACTGGCAGCAGGCCCTGTATAACTTGACCGAATATTTGTTCATATTTTTTTATGGAGGACCGAGAAAACCCACAATATTAAATTCATTAACATTATAATACTGCAAACCTATTCTGGAAAAGCAAACACCAAAGCTCTCTAGTTTTTCCTTTTATACAAAATTGAAATGTCTCTATGTCCAAAGAAATTTCACTCTTAAAAGTGAACAAGTGGATATTAGGAATTCAAATTCACTATATGTAACGTCTCTGCACAACTAACAACTGAACTAAGATAGTAGTTTGACGTGCTATTTTCATCCAAAATATTAATAATATAGAAAAAAAAAGTTCACAAGTGACAGACAAAAAGAAATAAAAAATGAAAATCAAGAAAGGGTGGAACGAATCAAGGGGAGCAATTTTCGGATCGATCAAAGTGGAGAAGTTGACCATTACATTTTGGGCAGTCTTCAACTTGTTTTGGCACCATGAAATACATCAAACAGCTCTTGCAACCAGCAACTACTAGAACATTCCCATTCTCTTTCTCTACCACCTCTCTCTCATTCGTTGAACACTCAGATGAACATTCTTCACTATCATCATACCAACTCTCTTCTTCTTCTTCCTCCGACTCTTGTTCTTCACAATCCCTTTCTGCCACTCTTCTTGGATCCTCTTTTGCTTTCATCCCGTTCCTCCAGTTTAAGTAATAAATCTCTCCCGTCTGCAATCGATTAATCAAAGAAATACCAAATTGAAATTCAACTCATTTAAGAGAAAATTATCCCACTTAGAAACAGCAGAAACCAAGGAAAGTTGCATTGGTTGCACCTTCCCCTATAAAGAAAAAGTGAAATGAGAATATTATTATAAATATAAAAAGCTAAACACTGCTACTTTTATTTCTAGGGTTTTTTGTCTGTTACTGTAGCTAGCGTGCTCGGAGTGCTGTTCTTATTGTTGGAATTAGAAACAAAGCATATATTGGAATTGGATACACAACAAAACTTATACTACTGTACAGGTTTAATCTAATTAATTAATTAAATTAAATTAAAAAAAAACATAAAGAAGAACAAAAGATCCAGTTTCATCATGCAAAATAAAATTAAAGATGATAAATAAATAATAAATAATAGAATAATAGAAGAACCTTTAAGTCTAAGCATTGTTCCCAATGGTAAGGTAGAGAGATGTGAGAGTTGAGCTCTAACGTGGTGTCAGAGTTGTTGTTGGAGATATGATTATTATCATCTGAGCTGCTGGATGAGATTCCTATGCTTCTTCCTCCTCCTTCTGCCGATGCGTTTGTGGTGGCGGAACCCTCGTTTTCCGTCCTTCCGTTCTGTTGGTGGTGGTGGTGGTTGTTGTTGTTTAGCGAACAGTTTTGAAGAGACCTCTCTAAGGAAGCAGTGATCGCATCCATATTTGGTGCTGCAACAACCAATTTTAATGAATGAAAAGTGAATACTTGTGTTTCTATTGGGATGCGACGAAAGGAACAAAATCAAATGAAAATAACAACTTACGCAGAGAGAGAGAGAGAGAGTTTTTGGAAGCAATTAATACAAGTGCCAAAGTGAAAGGGGGGATTAACAAGTTTGTTGTGGCTTCAGAGACTTTGTCAAGGGAATGAGATTTCAGATTGGAGAGAGCACTCAGAATGGAATATTTGTTATTGTTAAGGGTACAAATGGAGACATGTATCACGCCCTTCAAATGCGCGTGTGTTACGCTCACATTAACCGGGTGGGGTTGCACCTGTCAGTTCCTGAGAACCTCTCTGGGTTGCATTTTGTCTCGTCTACCTTCACTGTTTTCGCCACCAATCTCACGCGCGCCCTTAATATTTCACATATTACCCAATCATATATAATAAATGAACTCAAAAGTTTATTCACATACGGATTTAACTCATAAATAATAGAATTCAATTTCTTTCTACTCATCCTAACATTTATTTTTGGTTCTTTAAATATTTTCTTTGAAATTCTGTTACTATGTGTTTCGATTAACCTTACAAAACCAAATCACAACTACATTCCAATGAAAATAATATACTTAATGTCGTTTTTAAACATGATTTTGAGAAGATTTCTACTAGTGATATATGTTAAATTGTAATTCATATGTGTCAAAGAAGATTTGATTTGTTTTAAATTTAAATAGATTTGATTTAAGTCTAGAATAGATGTGATTAGATTTGATTTAGTAACAAAAAAATATTTTGGGCTTTGGGCTTAGGGTGTAAGCTCAGTTATAAATAGATGGAGTAACCTCTATTTTTCAAAGCAAGTCAAGCGAGTCATTCACAGTATTTTGCAGTTGCAAAGTGAATAAGAAAGTTTTCCACAGTTTGTGGGCAGAGAGAAACTCTGCAGAAATAATTGTCTTGTCTTCTTTTATTTGTTTTTCTCATAACTAATCATCATTGTGGTCGAAATTCATCATAGAATTTGATGGATTTCTAACATCTGGTATCAGAGCTTTTGTTTCGATTCAAGGGAAATGTCAATCAAGAACGATTGAAGAATTCACGATGACAAGTTATGGGAATGCAAACTATCCAGCAATGCTACCAATTCTGAAAGTTGACAACTATGAGAATTGGTGCAAACAGATGAAAGTCTTATTCAGGTGTCAAGGTCTTTGGGACCTTGTAAAAGATGGAGTCGAAGCGCTTGGCGAAAACGCTTCAGAAGAAGAAAAGAAGAAATACACAGAATCTGAGAAACTGAGTTATAAAGCATTATTTATAATTCATCAATGTGTCAGCCCAGACAATTTCGAAAAGGTTAGTGATTCAGAATCTGCAAAAGAAGCTTGGGAGATCCTTGAGAAGTCTTTTGGAGGCGCTGAGAAGGTGAAAGAAGTGAGGTTACAAACTCACAAAAGGACCTATGAACTGCTTCAGATGGAAGACAGTGAAAACATATCTGATTTCTTCACTAGAGTTACAAAACTAGTAAATCAAATCAAGATATGTGGAGAAGCGTTAACAACAAGAGCTGTTGTGTCGAAGATCTTGAGATCTTTAGCTCCTAAGTTCGACCACATAGTGGTGGCGATAGAAGAGGGGAAAGACTTGTCGAAATTGACAAAGGAAGAGCTTCAAGGGACGCTCGAATCTCATGAACAAAGAATGAAAGAAAGAGCTGCAGGAAAATCGAAGAGTGATGTGGCCTTGCAGGCACATTCAGCAAAAGAGACCAAAGGCAAAGGAAAGTGTTTCGATAGAGGTAGAGGTGGCTACAACAAATCGAATGGTAGAAGAAACCAAATCGAAGGAGACGTGTCGAATCAAAGAAGACCGTACCAAGGAAACCAAAGAGGTGGTGTTGCAAATAGAGGAATAAGTGGTGGTCGAAAACCTGATAAGAGTCACATTCAATGTTACAATTGTCAGAAATATGGACACTATTCGAGTGATTGTCCAGAAAAACGAAAGAATCAAGAAAGTGATGCAAAACTTGCAAAACATGAAGAAGAAGAGATGATGCTGATGGTCACTACAAGAGATGAAGATAGATTCAAGGACCAATGGTACTTGGATTCAAGATGTTCATCACATATGTCTGGAAGGAAAGACTGGTTCGTCAATATAAAACCCTCAACGAAAAATATGGTAAAATTTGCAAATGACAATACCCTAGCAGCTGAAGGTATTGGTGATGTTATGATCATGAGGAAAGATGGCAAGAGGTCAGTAATCTCCAATGTGTTGTACATACCAGGCATGAAGAGCAATTTGCTCAGTATAGGGCAGTTGGTCGAAAAGAATTATAAAGTGTCAATCGAAGATAAGTTGATGAGAGTCGTTGATGCAAATGGGAGATTAATCTTGAAGGCTCCTATGTCTCAGAATTGAACCTTCAAGATTGAACTAAATGTGATGGAGCACAAGTGCCTTTCGACTGCAGCTAGCAGAGATGAATGGATATGGCATTATAAACTAGGTCATCTCAACTTCAGAGACATCAGAGATTTGAAGAGAAGAAATATGGTTTCAGGATTGCCTGAAATTGACATTCCAAATGAAGTATGTGAAGAATGTGTGCAGGCGAAGCAACACAAGAATAGCTTCAGCAAGGATGCTGGAAGCAGATCGAAGGCTAGTCTTGAAGTCATATACTCTGATGTATGTGGACCAATCCAGGTGGATTCGATGGGAGGTAACAAATACTTTGTTACATTCATAGATGATTTCAGTCGAAAGTTATGGACTTACCTGATCAAGAAGAAAAGTGAAGTGATCGAAGTATTTACCAGGTTTAAGTCTATGGTCGAAAGACAAAGTGGTCGAAAGCTCAAAGTTTTGAGAACTGATGGTGGAGAAGAATATGTGTCGAAAGACTTCGACAGATTATGTGAAAAGGAAGGGATTATGCATGAGGTGGTGCCACCCTATACTCCACAACAAAATGGAATTGCATAAAGGAAAAATCGAACCATCATGAATATGGTGAGAAATATGTTGAAAGGCAAGAGTTTACCTAAAGAGTTTTGGGGTGAAGCTGTTTCGACTGCAACATACATTTTGAACAGATGTCCTACAAAGAAGCTAGAAGGAATTACTCCAGAAGAATGTTGGTCTGGTGTGAAACCTAGCTTGAGCCATCTGAAGGTATTTGGATCTATTGCACATAGACATGTGCCAGATCAGTTGAGAAGAAAACTTGATGATAAGTCAAGTCAAATGATTCTAGTTGGATATCATTCGACAGGAGGCTACAAGTTGTTCGATCCAGAGAACAAGAAGATTGTGATCAGCAGGGACGTGATCATAAATGAGTTTAAAGAATGGGATTGGACTGCAAATGTCAAGAAAGATTCAGTTGGAATCCTATTCGAAGAGCCAGAAACTCAAGTCGAAAGAGAAGTTCGACAAAAGGAACCAACAGATATACCAAGTACAAGCAGACCTTAAAGAACAAGACGCATGCCTGCAAGATTGCAAGATTGTGTGATTACATCAGATGATGTAATAGATAATGAAGGTGAGCTGGTACATTATGCTTTCTATGCAGATGTCGAACCTGTTAATGCAGCTGAAGCATTAAAGGATTCGAAGTGGGTGAAAGCAATGAACGAAGAAGTAAAGTCTATCGAAGACAACAACACTTAGTCACTTGTCGAATTGCCTCAAGGCAAGAAGGCAATTGATGTCAAGTGGGTATACAAAGTGAAAACGAACTCGAAAGGTGAAGTAACTCGACACAAAGCAAGACTTGTGGCGAAAGGATTTCTACAGAAAGAAGGAATAGACTTCGACGAAGTTTTTGCACCTGTTGCTAGGATCGAAACAATCAGGTTGGTTGTTGGTCTAGCAGAAATAAACAGTTGGCACATATGTCAGATAAACATGAAGTGTGCATTCCTAAATGAACCCTTAGATGAAGAAGTCTATGTTAAACAACCAGTTGGGTTTGTGAAACATGACGAAGAAAGAAAGGTGTACAGGCTACATAAAGCCCTGTATGGATTGAAACAAGCTCCAAGGGCTTGGAATAAGAAAATTGATAGTTTTCTAAGGGAGAAGGAATTTGTGAAGTGCATAACTGAACATGGAGTATATGTAAGAAGAAGCAAGAGTAAATTGCGTATACTATGTCTCTATGTAGATGATTTATTGATAACAGGTAGCTGCAAGAGTGAGATCGAAGACTTCAAAGGTGATCTCAGCAAGGAATTCGAAATGTCTGATTTGGGTGAGATTTCATACTTCCTTGGTATCGAATTCTACAAGAGCAGTAGAGGTTTGATGATGCATCAAAGAAGATATGCAGGAGAAATTCTCAAGAGGTTTGAGATGGAAGAATGCAACTCAACTTCGACACCTGCAGAACCAAGACTGCAACTGTCGAAAGATGCAAATGAAGATGATGTTGATCCAACCCAATACAGAAGACTTATTGGATCATTAAGATACCTTTGTCATACAAGGCCTGACTTAGCATACAGTGTAGGTATGGTAAGTAGATTAATGCAGAAGCCAAAGGTATCACATCTAGTAGCAGTGAAGAGGATACTAAGGTATCTCAAAGGAACTTTCGATTATGAAATTTTGTTTCCTGCAGTTGATAAAGGAAAAAAATGCAAGTTAGTGGGATACACTGATTCGAGTTGGTGTAGTGATGCTGAAGATCGAAAGTCAACAGCAGGATATGTGTTTATGCTAGGTGGTGCACCAATTGCTTGGAATTCAAGAAAGGAACCAGTAGTGGCATTATCATCATGCGAAGCAGAATACATAGCTGCTTCTCTTTGTGCATGTCAAGCAACCTGGATGGTGAACTTGGTCGAAGAGATAACAGGGAAAGATCATGGAGTAATTACCATGAAGATAGACAACATGTCAGCTATTAATCTGGCAAAGAACCCAATAGCACATGGTCGAAGTAAGCACATCGAAATGAGGTTCCATTATCTTCGAGAGCAGGTAGCAGATGGGAAGATGAATTTGGAACACTGCAGAACTGAGAATCAGATTGCAGACATAATGACGAAGGGAGTGCAAGTCGAAGTATTCAGAAAGCTAAGGGCCATGATGAACATAGACAGTTTAGACACAATGAATTAGGTGGTGTGTTAAATTGTAATTCATATGTGTCAAAGAAGATTTGATTTGTTTTAGATTTAAATAGATTTGATTTAAGTCTAGAATAGATTTGATTAGATTTGATTTAGTAACAAAAAGATATTTTGGGCTTTGGGCTTAGGGTGTAAGCTCAGTTATAAATAGATGGAGTAACCCCTATTTTTCAAAGCAAGTCAAGCAAGTCATTCACAGTATTTTGCAGTTGCAAAGTGAATAAGAAAGTTTTCCATAGTTTGTGGGCAGAGAGAAACTCTGCAGAAATAATTGTCTTGTCTTCTTTTATTTGTTTTTCTCATAAATAATCATCATTGTGGTCGAAATTCATCATAGAATTTGGTGGATTTCCAACAA